CTGGAGGACCCCGGCTGGCCTCGGGCGTCGCGAAGCTGACGCGAACATCGGGCCGAACACCCGAGAAGCTGCCGGACTGCTCGGGCCGAGGCCATCCTTTCCCGAGGCTAAAAAGGCCGCCTGGAGGCAATGCGCACGTGGGCGTGCGATAAGATGCTTTGAGCACCTGTCGTCCTACAAATGGCCACAGAAGATTTGTATCAATTTCAGCATTATGACGATGACTGCGACCTACGAAGGGCTCAGTCTCACTGAAAGATCCTGCGTCTAACAGCTCTTGCTGCAGGGTCCAACGGTTTGCTCACCCTTACGATCCTGGCAGCTTGGCTCAGCCCCTTGGTGGCGACACACTCCAGCACATCCCTAGCCCGCCTGGACTTCCAACGCCAGCACTGCGCCGCAAGGGGGCGCCACAGATGCGACTTCGAGCTGGCGGCATGACCAAAAGACTGGATATAGAGCTAATCACTGATCTTTTCAAGGAATGAACGGTACCGATGCGCCTGCCTCACATGCTGCAGAAGCACTATTGGAATCCGCCGACAACGAAAAGCAACAGGCCATATCCATCAACTCCGCACTTTGGCGCAATTATCGTAGCTCTCTGCCTCAAACCTCTGCCCAAAGGTTTACTACTCCACATGCACGTCCGAGCCTCACTCCAAATCCGTGCTGCAGGCGAGCTGCGGCAAGCCTCAAATCACCCCACCGTTCGCGACCAAACATTGACGGGGAATTTCTCGGGCTACCTTCCCCATTCTTTCCAGTGATCCTTTAGAAAACCGCCAGAAACCCGAACAAAGCGGCGGTCGAATGTCGAAAAGAACGATGGCCACCAGAGATCCCTAAAGCATTGAGTGGGGGGGGGGGGCGTGCAGAGGGTTCCCTGACACCAGCCCAACCCCCCCCCCTCTCACCCCCCCGCCCCCCGCCTCTGGAGGCAGGGCCCTGCGGAGCACCTCCAGAGTCTTGGGGCCCGTGAGCTCCAAGTAGCTGGGCCCGCACGTGGGGGAGACCCAAAGCCTGGCGAAGCACAGGGCAGGGAGGGGAGGGAAGTTGTTACATGGGCCACTCAAGGCACGCTTTCCGCCGTGGCAAGCTGCAAGCCAAGAGGACAAACGCAATGCTCAATGGAGCGGCCAAACACGCGTGGGGCGGCCCCGAAAGCATTGAATTGCTTTGCATCTCATATGGCTTGCCGTTGCTTGCCACAGCGAAAGCGAAGCCTCACGGTCACAAGTTCACCAGGATCTCCTGCTGTTTTTTTTCACTTTGCGTGATGGGTCCTGATGGCCCTGGTTGTCCGGATACTTTGCCCTTATCGCTGTTCTCATAGTGCCGTTTGGGCGGCGAATGAAGCTTCAACCATGAAAGGACATCCGCATCAGCCATGGCGAGGTGAAACGAAACGGAGGCCTGCAGCAAAAAGTATGTTCAAAACCTGGCTGGCGCACGCACCCTCGCGAGATGAGCGTGCCTGCACTGCAGCCTCACGGGGCAAAGACGCTTACACATAATGTGACAATGCAGGGCAAAACTTTCCCCTTGGATCACCCCGGCGCGTACAACCAAACAAACGCAAACCCTGGCTGATGCGGGAGTAGTGGTTGGCCCAACGCTGAGGTTCCCGACCAAACCCAGGGCTGTGACGGCCTGGCCAAATCACACCCAGCCAGCCCACCCAGCGATTTGGTGCAACCAAAGCAATGCAAGCGATGGAGCAACCGAAGCACAACAAAACTGCAGAAATCTTGTGGCAACAAAGGCTGGGAGCCCTCAGGGACCTTTGAAGGGAAGGGAGCCCCACTTGCAACTCCCACCTAACTGACCGTGAAAGCTCTAACCATGTAAAACTGCCAAGTTACAATAACTCGAAGCATCAAAAAAAAAAGCTGGCACATAAAAGCTGGCCAGCAACATCCAGCTCGACACGCGTAAAAATGATGCCCAAATGGGCGCGGCAAGAAACAGCCATGCACGTCAAGCCCATCCCATGGCTTCGCGCAAGCAATCAACGCAAAGCAAAGGAAAGGCAGGGGCAGGCAAACGAGACAAGCTGCACAATACCAAGGCAACCAACCCAAGCAAGCCAGAGCAAAGTCAAAGCAAAGCAAAGCAAGGCAAAGCAACGAGCAGAGCAAAGCAAAGACATAGCAAAGACAAGCAAAGCAAAGCAAAGCAAAGCAAAGCAAAGCAAAGCAAAGCAAAGCAACGAGCAGAGCAAAGAAAAGAGCAGAGCAGAGCAAAGCAAAGAAAAGAGCAGAGCAGAGCAAAGCAAAGAGCGGAGCAGAGCAGCAAAGAGCGGAGCAGAGCAAAGCAAAGAGCAGAGCCAGCCAACCAAGCAAGAAAATACAAAACCAACCAAAGCAAAACAATGTGGCCGAGGGATGGCATACTTGACAGTGCACAATCTTGCGCTCAGCCCGGCCTCTTGGGCAGCTGCTGGGTGCACCCAAAGCCACACTATCCAGCCGGTTTCAGGCGTTGCTTCCAGCGCAGCCTCAACCATGTCCACATCCCCTCCCGAGCCAGGCGATGGGCCTGTGCCCTGGACATCAATTGTGAACGGCATCTCCTCGTCGCTTGGCTCTTTGGCCATCGGCGGATGCCGCGTTGTCATGGACGGACTCCAAAGCAGCAAGGCAGGAGTGATCAACTGATCTCCACAGTCTCGCAACAATATCCGCACACGCCTGGCACCACTCCGTGCGTCTTTGGCAAGGATCAAACGGCGGTCGGCCCCACAGTGTGCCAGCGTGTCAACAATAAGCTGCTCAGATCCGAAGATCTCCACGAGTTGCATGTAGCTGCGATCATGCGCACAACAGTGGCGAGACATGGCCCTATGCAACGCCCGTACTCCAAGAGCATTGTTGCAAGCTGCCAGTTTGTGGCCCCAAGCCTCCTCCATGTGGGCACGCTTGGCGTGCCACACGTGAGTCTCCAGATATCTGGTCGGCGCTGCGGCTCCCAGAGAGGGCGGTGCCCATGCATGCGCCCGGAGCAGCAGCCCAGGCCTCCTCCAGTGCTTCCGCACTCGCACCACCCCATCCTCCACGGCCAACTTTGTGGAAGCTGGGATCCTTACAGCGTGTAAGAACATTGAATCATTGGTACATCTTGGAATGTTTCTGCTGCCAAACCCATAAAGTGCCAAACGGTGTGCTGCATGAAACTGCATTTGCATGAGCATGGGTCATGCACCCGTGTCATTGGTTTGCTCATGAACATGGTTGCTGCCCCAACCAACTTGTTTTTTGTGCTGCTCCACGTTGTCCTTTGAGTGGCCAAACCTCGTTGAGCCTGATCAAAAACGAACCACTTTGGCCAAGCATCTGCCCTTCCACCTTGCGCCTCCTCACTTTTCGCCATGTTTTCGGTGCAGACGCCTGCGTGCGCCGCCGCAGCAGGCCAAAGGGCTGCCAGCTGCGGGTGCGGCGCCGCAGGTGCCGCGGCTGAGCAGCCACGTCGCCAAGCGAGGCCAGAAGCTTTTGGACGTCCTCCGCTCGCTCTGCGGCAAACCTGGCTTGGATCTACTTGCGTTTGGGCCTGGAGCGAAGGGCACCCAGAACATGGTGCCGTTTACCCACAAACACTACTGGATTGCTAACCAGAAGTTGGATCATTTTGAAGCTGCCGGCAGGTGGTCTTTCCACAATCTGGCGGAAGCGCTGCAATGCAGCTACCAACATGAATGACGCCCAGGAGCTGTTCAACTGACACAGCTTGCGGCAGAGTAAAGCCCGTCGCGGTGCCAGCAGAGTTTGTCGTGAAACGGCCGGAGCTCGAAGCCATGGCGTCTAGCCAAAGGTGTGCCTCCCGTCCTTCGCACACCCGACGCAATCTAGTTACTTTTGCAACGGGAAACAGCTCTTGACATACTCGACAATCAGCACTGAAAGAAACATACTAGGAAACACGCCTTCGCAAGGCGGAGGCATGGAACATGGTTGTGTGTGTGTTATGTCGCCACAACTACATGAGCCATGTGCTATCATCTTATTTATTCCTTGCATGTTTATATTATTGCAAAACAAACTGAATTTAACCAGCAAGCGCGATTCATTGAGTGAAATGATGATGATGATGATGAGATGAAATGAATGAATGATGAATGTGAGTGATGAATGAGAAGAAGAATAGATGGATGAATGAATGAATGAATGAATGAATGATGAATGTGAGTGATGAAGTAGATGATGATGATGAATGAGAAGTGATGATGAATGAAGAGAATGAAGTGGATAGATGATGAATGATGATGGTGATGAATGAATGAATGAAGATGAAGTGAATGATGAAGAGATGTGATGAATGAATGAATGAATGAATGAATAGATGAAATTCATGATGAATGATTGAATGAATTAGATGATGGATGAATTAGATGATCGATAGATGGAATGATCGATAGATCGATGATCGATGAATTCGATGATGGAAGCGAAATTGGAATGATCGATAGATGAATGAATGAATGAATGAATGAATGAATGAATGAATGAATGAATGAATGAATGAATGAATGAATGAATGAACGAACAAATGAATGAATGAATGAATGAATGAATGAATGAATGAATGAATGAATGAAATAAATGAATGAAATGAATGAATGAATGAATGAATGAATGAATGAATGAAAGAATGAATGAATGAATGAATGAATGAATGAATGAATGAATGAATGAATGAATGAATGAAATGAATGAATGAATGAATGAATGAATGAATGAATGAATGAATGAATGAATGATGAATGAATGAATGAATGAATGAATGAATGAATGAATGAATGAATGAATGAATGAATGAATGAATGAATGAATGAATGAATGAATGAATGAATGAATGAATGAAATGGAATGAATAAATGAATGAATGA